GAGAGAAAAAAAAGGTACAAATGGCCACCTGCTGCAGGCTTTCTGAGTGCATTTTAATCCTGGCAGTTTAGTGACGTCCCTAAGCACTAATTATGTGGTCGAGCCGCTCCCCACCAGAGAGGCTGCTTCTTATATGCAGCAGTTATTTCAGTGGAAACCACAGCAGCTGTATTATACGTTGGGCTCAGAGGCTGTGGTTTCACTTTATTTGGGAGGTGCCACACCCGGAGAAACCTCCTGCCATGAAACCTGCTTCACCCTGTAGCTGCAGCGTCTTTACCAAGAAGAGCTCTTAATACCAGTAATTAACGCTGGCATTTAATCTGTGAAAGCTCATTTTTCTTCATCACTTCTGCAGATAAAATGTAGTTTTTTTTTCACTTAAAATTTATACTGCAGACTTTATACTCTTGGGCAGTGCCTCAGCTATTTTTATGTGATTATAGCTTATATATACAGTACAGCATGAGGTCAATTATCATGACTAGCTGTGGTTTTCTTTTCAGCTTTCCACCCATGCTTTCTGACTACAGGCTTAGTTTTTAAATCATATTCAGTTCGCAAAAACAGGACTTCAGACTAGAGATTCACAAAGTGAGGGATGAGTCATGTTAAGATGATTTATGATATGAAAAAGGAACTGTAATATTGTTCTTTACAATTTATTAAAACTTATTTCAATAAATAGGAAGGGAAGGTGATATAACATCAGTCTGTGCTCATTTCTCATACTTATTTTACACCAACAGTCTATATTTTGATGTCTTTTTATTTTACTTTTTTCATCTGAATATTTTCTCTTTTAAAGGTTCAAAAACAATTAAAATGGTTGAAATGGAGAAATCCAACATTACAAACTTGGTTTCAAGAGTAACCAGAAACAGTCCTGAAGGCTATACCTTAGATTTAAAGGGTCACAATAAAGAATCCCAATCCACACACTGCTTAAAAAAATCTATAAGTGAAAAGCAAACATGTGCAGAAACTTGCACACATAAGTAAACTAGGACTTGCTGATATTGATAGTATGGAAGTTTGTTTCTGCCACTAGAAAAAAAAAAGTCAGATCAACTTACTTATGAGTAAGTTTCCTGAAAGTTTCCAGAATCTAACCCAAAATTTGACCTAGAGATCTCACATAGGATACCAACAAAACATAATTTCATAGGAGTAAAGAATTCTGATTCTGATTCTAATTCTGAACAAGCGTGTGGCTAGCATCATAAATCGCACAGTTCATTCATAACAACTCATATACTGTCACATATGTATTGTGACAGTAAATGTATATGCATTTCAGCTAGAAATGACTTGAAATGACTTGTGAACTTCTCTGCTGTAAGGAAACAACAGAAATTTCAGTTCAAAATGGAGGATAAACCCACAACAAATTTGCAGTTTGTAGCTGCACAAAATTAAACTTATTCACAGATTTACTTTCATCTTTACTTTTTGTCAGATATTTATGCATAACACCTAACTCGTTTCAAGGTCATATGCACCAACAGCTTCCAAATAACTCGTGAACCTCTTTAAAAGTTAGAATAACTCTCATGCTAAATAAGCTAATGACACCGAATAGCTTAGCTTTACATATACTTTACATATACTCTGGAAACGGTAGGACTGTAACATAAGCAGTCCACCAATAAAGATTAGACAAAGTTACATTCACTTGTTATATATTTATTTATTTATATATTTTGTTGAATCTGAAATGAAAAATGTTAATTACACTTTTTAATTTGTATGCTACACTTGAAGGTGGGGTCAGCCATATTTAAGCAGCAATTCGCTACACTCTGGAAACTAACAATAACTGACTTAGTGCAAAGTAAGCAGGAAACCAGAGAATACTCTACAATGCTACACCACCTTTTTAAATATTTTAATGAGATTAAGGGGAAATCTTATTGTCTGTATGTTAAACTGAACATATAGACTTAGTTTAGCTTAGCACACAGACTGGAAAAAGTGAAATGTGATAAAAGCCTAATTTTGGTCTAAGCTAGCAACTAGACGAGATGTAAGGTACGCTTAGATGTTAGATGTCTCGTTAAGAATGAATTGTTTACTACTGATGATGCTACAGCTAGCTGTTCATTAGCAAGATAGTGTTTAAAGTTAGTAAAATATAAATATTAGCCCCTCTGAGGCTCATTAATGTTTTATATTAAAATAAAATTAGTTTAATTAGCACAAAAGTCAAGAAACTGCAAAAAAAGTTGGTAAGTCATCTAGCCTGTTTGTTGACTGAAAACAAAGCTAAGCAGCTGCCACAATTAGCTTCATATTTTGGCATTTGTTATAAATTATGTTGTCTTAAGCAAAAAAATTGACATGCGAAAATGGTCAAAACTGTTCAATTTTACAATTAACATTTGAATGCCCCTGTCTTTATAGTTTTATAATTAGCAGTCTTCAAAGAATTTCAGGTTACATATCCATGTAAACCTTTGCCTCTTGGCTCTAAACCCGGTTTTGACTTATTCACTTTTTAATTATTCAAAAATGACCCTAAATATAATTTCTGGTCTGAAGTGATACTTATCAGGCCATAGCTGGAGAAAATGCCATACATAAACATTACTGTTAAAAAAAAAAAATAAAAAAAAAAGGCAGATTCAGACCGAAAAACAGCTGGTGCAGATATTTTGAGGTTGTTGTTTATCCCTTTGCAGCATGAATGCTTCAGTGGAGGTATAGTTGGATGAAAGTAAGAGATGCATATTTCATATTCAGCATAGTCTTAGTCTGGGTGTGTCTTGTCTGCAACTGGCCTGAAGTCTGACCAAAATTAGTGGCCTTCTTTTGTCCATTCCATCCACAAGGCCACATCATTATAGCCGTGGCACTCCGAACCCCTTCATTCAGCCTCGACCTCGCACTGAAATAGCCCTGTGTGCTCTTTAAGTGTGCACTGCAGCCTGTTGGGGGGGCGAAGTATTTTTGACCCAGGATCACATTTACTCAGACATTTGATTTTAGAAATGAGCCACATCTCCATCTTTGAGAAATCCTCACAAATTTTGTCATTTCAGTGTCAAAGCTTTTTATCAACTTCAAGACTTTCAAACAGTTTCAGTTTAGCTTCTTTACTAATCGTCACCTGGTCAGTGGCTTGTAGCAGCTTTCCCTAAATGGTGTCTCATTAAGGCAAGATAAGCCTTTCTGGTGTTGGTTGTGGGTGTGAATTTAACCTTTCATCCCTAAACCACAAGGCCAGTGCGGTCTGAGCTTTAGGAGGCAGAACATCCCAGTTTAACTTTACAGGACAACCACATTCTGAAATTCTGGAAATAAATAAATAAAACATGGATATAATGGGGGGGAAATAACACAGAATATGAACATAAAAGTTTTATAAAAATACGGATTAAAGTGTTTTCAGAAGCCTTGTTGAATCATGAAAAATCAGAAGGCAACAAATCAAAGGAAAACATTGTTATTATATAAGAAAAACATGAAAACCTTGATCAATTAAGCACATGAACTGGTGATTTTATAAACCTGTTATCAGAACAAAAGCCCACAGAAGAACAGGAAGGATCCCTATCGGGTATCAACACAGAAAGCCAATCAGAGGACAGCAGAAGAAGTCATAATTTGGTGGATATCGCTCACCATTCTTAGTATCTTCTTGGCAGGTCACGGCGATCACCTGAGCCAAGGTGAGGGCCAGGCAGATGATAATCCTAGAGTGCAACGAGGGGCCCATGTCTGCATGCCAGACATGCAGCGTCCTCACACACAAATCGCTGTGCAAGAGAGGAAGTCAGCGAGAGCACGACCCCGAACTAAAGAATCCAGGCTGAAAAATCCCAAATATCCCTGAGTGCAACACGGCTCCTGGATGAGCGATTACTGCAAACTGAAAGGAGCTCCCTCTTCAACCACCCCCCCACCAACACCTTCTTTTACTCTCTCTCTCTCTCAAACTCCCTCCCTCTCTTTAGTCTCCTCTATCATCATCATTTCTTTTTGCTCTATTTCAGGGCCACCCTGCTCCTCCTACTGCATTTTCCTTGAAAGATGGCATAATTAAAGGCTGCATGAAATTAGTCCATTTGAAAGGCTGATGAAAGAAGATGGGTTGGATGGTGAAGCTGAAGAAATTTCTTTTGAAAGCTACAGTTGAGCGCTGTGCATAATTTGCAGTTTGTTGCATGAACATTTTCCTTGAATAACCTGAGGCTTAAGAACAAGATCTGCAGGAGAGTTCGCTCTTTTTGTTCCCTTGCTACTCTACGTGAAAAGGGACACCTCAGCTCA